TGCGGGTGGATAATAATTGACTGGTTACGCTAGATTTTTATTCAATTTTTATTCAAATTCCTTCCACATAAAGTGGAAACTAGTCGTTTCACAATTCACAAAGTCAAGCAGCAACTTTATAACAAGACACTGCACTTGTCATTCAACCATGCTCTACTAGGAAATCGTTGATATAGCTATTCTGCAATCAGGCAAAGTTAATTTCGCAGTTCAGACCTTGTCACTGTATGGGTACTAAATATAGAGTGTATTGGTCACGCTCTTGAACACTTTCCGAGAAAAATTTGTTAACGTCAGAACGCGAACAAAATAGTTCCCTCGTTACGTCACTTGACATGCTGCCAGGATTCTGCTCACACTCGGATGTGTGTTCGTTTCAGGACTTGGTTAGTGTCTTCTGTTAGTTTCCCTTTTATTTTCTCTTATTTCCTGTAACTCTTGGTGATTTTGTGTTCTAATTGGTGAATTTGATGTATTTTGATGCAGTGTAAGTCCCGCCCACCCTCCGTAGTGAAATTTATTCGTAATTCTCGGAATTATAACTAATAAAAGGCTCCAGAATACCGCAAGGTCAGCTTTAATATATTAGCGACAGGGTTGAGTGGAGTTGGCGCCTGAATGTGGAAAATTCAATCCCCCTTGAACATAATTACAGGTGAAAAAAGCCTGATAGTTTCGAAAGAAACTGTTTGGGGCTGCGTCGATGAGAGTAACGAAATACTTTGGATATATGAACAAAGTTGAAAGGGCAAATTGGCCACCGTAACGATTACAAAAGCTGACGTTTCGAGCGTTAGCCCTTCGTCGGAGCGAATGTAAATATTTCGCTCCAACGAAGGGCTAACGCTCGAAACGTCAGCTTTTGTAATCGTTACGGTGGCCAATTAACCATTTCAACTTTGTTGATATATCCAATCCATATTTACAGGTCAATCGATTCCTTTTACCATTTGTCCGACAGTGGAAGATGGAATCCAGCCAAGTCTGATCGTTAGTGGGGGATAAATGCAAGTTATTTTCCGAGCTTTCTGCTTTTCTTTGCAGTCCTTGTTCAAAAGATAACGCCGAGATTATTTTCACTGCACCGGTGAGTTAATACCTCGGCCGTTTTAGCAAAATCAGGTAATGTTTAGAGGGATATGTCTGAAATTTATTCACTTTGCTGTATTCTCCTCTCCCTGGGTACAACATCATTAAGCTTTGTTTATTTCTTGCCTTTTCAGTCAAGTTTGCCTTCAGACAAGTATCAGGGCCGAATCTTTGGAACAAAAGCAAGCGAGGGAATCAAATGAACCGATGCAGCGATCATAGATTGACTATCGAACGCTTTGACTTAG